TACTGCGCTAGGGTTTTCTCTAAAGGTTACAAATTAATAAGTGATGGCCTGGTTCTTAAACAACTTATTTTAAGCAGAGCAAACACTCAGACCCAGCTGTATGTCTATATACTACTATATCAGACATATCTGAAGAACAGTAAGTGCTAAAATACAGGCAGAAGCAAAATGCTATGGATTCTGTGGAAACAGCATCCCTACAGACAAAATTTATCAAATGCAAAAGCAAGCTTAGAAATACCCTTTCTTGTGCAGGGCATGGGGGTTAGTAAGTTAGGATTCTCTGGCCTAAGGTTCTCATTTAAGAACAGAGTAGGAGGCAGTTAAGCTGTTAACACAGCTAGAGATCAGAAAGGTGGATAACTTGATACTGGGTTGGATGGGTCTATAAATAGAAAGTCAGTTAGCAAAGGGAGATTTGTTCCTAACAGAAATTACTGTAGCAAAGGAGAAAGGAATAAAGAAAACAAGATTTGCTAAAGAAATGTGTGAAAACTACTAATAAATAGCTACAGCTGTTACATCAAAGATTCATTGGGGCGGCTGGGTGGCTCAGTTGGTTAAGCATCCCACTTTGGCTCAGGCCATGATCTCACAGTTCGTGGTTTCGAGGCCTATGTCTGGCTCTATGCTGATAGCTCAGACCCTGGAGCTTCTTTAGGATTCTGTATCTCCCTGGCTCTCTGCCCCTCCCCCACTCATGCTCTGTCTCTTTCTGTTTCTCAAAAGTAAACTAAACGTTAAAAAAAAAAAAAAAAGATTCACTAAACACAGAGACATAAATCTCTGGGGGAGGGGGATATCCTGAGCCAGCATCAATAACCACAAAGGAAGAGCTCGGTATTTTTTTTTTTTTTTACGTGGAATTACCCTGGATTCATAATTTCAGGGAGGACACTGTATTCCTGTTTCAAATATATATATATCTGCACCATATATAGATTATACCCTAATATTTCCTTGAATGGTAACAATGAAGCCTCTCCCGACCTGATTTGAAGTTACTACCCAATGAGAGGCAATAGAGCAGATTTTTAAAGTTAGCTTAAATCTATTAAAAAGCAGATTAAAACACACACTCTGGAGCTAGACTACTTTGGGCAAGTTTCTTCATTTCTCTGTGCTTCGGTTTCCCCGTGTGCAAAATGAAGATAAGCATTTCCCTCCCATAGGATGTTCATGAGATTTAAACAGTTAGCACATGCAGAACGGTCAGAATTGAGCCCAGCACAGAGTGCTATGTAAGTGTTAGCAGTCTTGCTGCTGCTGTTGCTGCTACCACTGGAGGTGGAGCTCTCAACAAAATGTAAAAGAGAAAGCTAGAGTACCAAGGCCATTGCCTGGAAGAAAAACCCTAAGAGGAGGCATCTTCAACTCTGTATTGAGGAAGGGTTACTCTTCGGTTCCCTGAAGTCCTGAATCACTTTGGGGAATGCAGGGGCAGTGTGGTAACAACAAATTCTGCTATTAGAATTAAGGAGAGGCCATCACTGCTGGCTGTACTTTGCTGGCTGCTGGGAAACATGAAAGACAGCAAAGAGAGGGGTGACAATAGCAATTCCCTAGGAAATCTACCAGGAAGAGTATTAAGATCTAAATTTTGGCATTTCACTCTTGGATAGTTGCCACAGAAGTTACTAGGGAAGTTGTCCCATCCATGGCCCATCCATGAAAATATGGGCCAACCAGTCCACAAGATACCATCAGAACCAATTCTACTAACACAAGGGGACACAACAGAGAAACACCACCAACTACTCTCGTGACAATTTTTTAATTGGTGGGGCCTCCGTATGACACTATTTCCCAGTGTTTTAAGTGTGTTGTTGTCAAAAAATCAATGTCATGTCTTTGAAACAAGTCCAAATAGCAATAGATCAGATGAAGATCACCCTTTTATCAGAACTAGCTATATTAAGTTATATTTCAACAACTAGTACCATTTCGAGTAACCAACTAAAACTTAAGTAGTAATTTGTCTCTGAAGATATTTGTGAAGTAAACAAAAGAGAGAATTTAAAACCTCTCTATTAGAAAGTGAACAAGAGAAACATGCCAACTATCTATATGTAATATTACCAATCTTAGCATAAACCAAGCTTACCCTGAGCATAGTATTTTCTATTGGATCAACAGATAATCTTCAAAAAATAAACTAATATTCTGAGAAGTGCAGAGAGCATTTTAATGGATTTCCCAACATCTACTCCTTGCCAGTTGTTTAGTAATAATCATGATAATCTTGCCACTCACCCCTCTACCACTACCCGTACCACCAATGATTATTTTCCGAATGGTTGGGCCCGTGCCAACTTAGGCCAATGGGATCCAATGTTTTGGAAGTTTCTGGGAAAGAAATGTTCTGGCTCTAAACAGAGTGCCATGAAAAGCCAGTGTCTGTCACCCCCCAAGGTCATAAAAGAGAAAGGAGGGTTCCAACTTCTCTTGACAGCCACCCTACAACCAGGAATTTAAATCTTCCAATGATACCAATTACTATGAGAGGCAGAGCTGAGATGGAGAAAGAACCTGGATCGTTGATGACCTACTTCCAGACTTCCTCTTAAATGAACTATCAAGTTCACTCATTGCTTAAATTGGTTTTATATTTGTGCCCCAAAACATCCTAATTTACAAATTTTGCTTTTCAGGCTTTTTACTGTGTAAGAATGTCATCTATGTTCACCAGAAGACTAGCAAAAAAACAAAACAACAACAAAAACTACCCTATTTTAAACAAACTGATGCACCTATCAGATTCATTAAAATAAATAGATTTTATTGACAGTTACATAGGAATATTCCAATAACTCTAATAATTTCTGGGCATTTTCCCTTTACTATTTACCAATAAAGTAGAAAGTTAATCAAAACATTTAGAAACATCAATCTGACATAAAATTTTAGTTATATAGTAGCATTACTTTTTAAAGCACAAAAAGTGTAACTTGTTAGAACCAAAAATATTAGTCATATTCATACTATTTAAGCCACAATTAAAATAAAGACAGTTACTTATACCTTTAACATAGTTGGCTTCAGCTTTATTAAAAATCTGTAGAGGGGCGCCTGGGTGGCTCAGTCAGTTAAGCATACCGACTTCAGCTCAGGTCATGATCTCACGGTTCATGAGGTGGAGCCCCATGTAGGGCTCTGTGCTGACAGCTCAGAGCCTGGAGCCTGCTTCAGATTCTGTGTCTCCTCTCTTTCTCTCTCTCTCTCTACCCCTCCCCACTCATGCTCTCTCTGTTTTTAAACAGTACTTAAATAACGTTTTTAAAGTGTTAAAAAAACTTTCTTAAAATCTTTAGAATTTGCTGCCCGTGAGTCATCTTAATGGCATACATGGGTAGAATGGATTAATCGCAACCTACAGAGAGGCTAAAGTGTTCATTTTAGCTATTTGTTATATCCCCAACCTCACTGGGCTGGAGAAACTATTAAAATACAAATGAAGAGGTTTCTAATGAGTAGTGATTTAAACAATAACAACAGTAAAAAGGCAAGAAAGGAATAAAAGAAGGGCAGAAGTAGAAGATAAAAACTGGAATAACTAGTTCCTAAAAAATGGCAAAGGGCAAAGGGAGGAAGGAAGGAGAAGACACTCAGAAGTCCTTATGGAAAGGTCACAATGTCTCTGACACATGATACAGATCGGATGTTATATAAGGCAGATTGATCCTTGTAACAAAATCACTTTAGCATGCATCTAAAATTATAGAGTACTCATGTTTTACAAAGGAATTCAGCCTGTTTTACAAACACATCAGGTGAGCATCACCCACCTTAGCTAATGTTATGGTATAGGTATTCTGAAGACTTATTCATACCATAAATACACTAAAGAATAGATTTAAATTGGAGCTGAAAAAATAATGCATCCATTTCAGTCTTCAAAGGGAACTTAGCTGTGCCCAGAAAGAACGTAAATAGACCAACTTTAATACACGTAGGAAAGCAAAAGATAACCTTTTTAATTTGAAAAAGCTTCCTACAACCTATGTAGGCTCACTCCTCGCCTGGGGACAAACCTGATCACAGCTATAGTTCAAACAGGCCAGAAGTATAGCAGGCAGGGCTGGTGGAGTTAGGAACGTGTGTGACTTCATACCTAAAATTAGCCAGGTCCATTTCACCACAAGCTGGGTTGGGCTCCTCTATTTTAAGGTGTGCAGCTCCAAATTGCTTAAGAGCATATAATTGCTGGCCAGATTCTGGAGCTAAGAGTTTCAGCAGACCTGCCACCAAGTCTTTAGAGTGGGCAAGCAGTCCACAGGATCCCACACTTAATCATCATGATTTATCTACAATCTAAGTACACTGTAAGTGAAATCACACACTGGAGATATCCATGAAAACGTATCACACAAGGGCACGTCAAAAAGGAAGAGAGAGCCCTTCCTCTTTTGTACCACACCTCCCCCTGATGCACACATATTACATATGACAAATTGGGGGAAAAAACTGACAAAATTATTTAGAAGTGACAGCTGAAACCATTCCAAGTAATGTCACACTATTATTTACCTCCCTTGGAAAGTGCTTTGCTCCTGGGGTAAATCCCACAGAAGGGGCTACTCAGTCTGCACTCTGCATTCTGGAAACATTAGAAGGGAACTGGTGTGGCCCCCATTGCTCTGGTAGGAGAATTTCCACTAATGTTTACAATAGGGGCTAACTTTTAAAAGACAAATGAAAGAAAACGACAAGCGTGCCTTCCTGCCAAAACTAACCATCATTCTACCAACAAATGGTAAAGCTGAGTTCTATGGCCTTAAGGTACACCTGAAAATTAAGCTGTACAGATGACATTCACGATTCCTACAATCTCATGGCAAAGACCTAGCCATCTATTTTATTAACAGCAGTTTGAGATGCTACATTCAGAACATACAGTTAGTGCCACCATTATCCTGATACTATTATGTTCTGGTAGGCTACCACACTAACGCTTGTTTTGATAGACTCAACTATTTTAAGAATTAACAAAACACACATACCTTCATTTTCAGAGGCATGACATTTCACTTTCAATACCAAGTCAAAGGTTCTCTCTGGATTTTCCCTAAAAGAAAAAGAAATTTGTGGTATTTATTTCCTATGGCAAATAACTAAGCATCTCTGCAGAGTTTATATTTTCTTAACTCAAAAAACTAATCTTGGTCTTGTTGCAATATGTTCCATTAAACTATATGAGCACAATGTAGAAAATACCGAAGTTTTTTCCCAATTCAGTAATGTTAGAGGCTTAGGAGTTCTGAGACCTGCAGCAAACATTTAACCTCAGCCTGTTTTCTCACCTATAAAGTGCCTTGTTCATTTCGAAGAATAATTGTGAGGATTATATATCAACTAATATATATGGAAGTACTTTATAAAGTATTCAGTGCTGTATAAATGTAAAGCACTGACTTTATCTCATTGAATCAAAACTGGAAAGCCAGTACGCTCCTAAGTATCTCTACCTTTTCCTGCCAACAAAGCTGGCCAGCAGGTTCTCGGGCTTTTTTAAAAAGACTTTCAATATAAATGTAAATGATGAATACCTGGTTCCACCTGCCACATTCTAGACCACCACAGAACAGTCATAATGCTCCTTAAATGTGACACTTTACATATGCTTCTCTTGAGATGTAATTACTGCCAACCATGTTTAAAGTAGCAAACCATACGTAAACTGCAAGGCTAACAACAAAAACCTTGCTTTATGTCGATTATCTTTGGAGAAATCACACATCTGCCTCAATATTAGAGTTTCCCACCAGGAACAAAAGGTTGCTTCATTCTGAAGTTATCCACTTCTTTACTAACTTTTCATACACTCAACCTATTCATTAGTTTAATTTCAAAAAGCAAGTTTACATCTAGTGAGACACATTTTCTAACATAGTTCTGTTTTAATGTCTTTCTGCTAGAAGATAAAAGATTAGGCAAAATCTGAGACCACAATGTCCACGTGACTGAAGTGTTAATCTATCTGTTATTCCTGCTAAGGAGACCTTAGTGTCTTTGCACATTGGCTGTTTTTAATATGCACTTCATTCAATAAAGTGATGCCAGTTTTGGCTTCTAAATAAACATGAACTTTTCTAAACTTATTACAAGAATCTAAAATCACAGGAAGTGACAAGCTATATAAATTAATTTGGAAATATACATATCCTCAGCCCTCCCACTATTAACTTGTTTCAATGGAAATAATACAGACTTAGGTGACCTCCTCCCTCATAATCCAATTAATGTCAAAAAGTATACCTTTTAAATCACTTATGCTGCCCCCACCCATATCAAACACTGAAGAAAATAACTTTAAATCACATAATTTTCCCCTTTTCTTAGTATTTTTTACAATCTCTCTTAGGTGCAAAACAGTAAATATTGATTCAATCATACTGTGAAATTTTACAAGCCTTCCACACTAATACAAATATAAACAGTACTCATTATTTTAAATTGGGTGGGTGTGGTAGGGGAGTAGAAGAAGAAAAATCTTTTGCAAAGTAACTTTAGGAGAAAAAAAAAAAAACAAAAAACCTAAAACTCATACCTCTAAGACGCAAAACAAATCACCACACTTACTCAAATTGCTTTTTACATAATCAGTGTCCAGATGAAAAACATCCACTGATGTATACTTTAGCATGCACATAAAAATACTATCTAATTGGATACCATTTTGCAAGTATCGTGCATACACCTAGTGCCTACGTAAACAAATATCAGAGGCCAACTGAATAAGAAAAACCGGAGGAAAACCTCGCAGATCAACTGACAACTGCACTTAAAAATGAAACGGTTATCTTCGCCTTAGGAAAATGCTTTGAACATGAATCGCTTAACCTCAAGGCTGACGCCCTCCCGGACACCAGACAACCGACAGTCACGTCTGCCACACTCCGGGAGGAACAAGAAACCCACAGCAGAGCAGGAGCCGCTGGCCTCCTCCAGCACCTAGAGACGCGGGCGCTGCCCCGCGCTGTGGGCCGCTTCACGGAGGAGCCCCGCCGACCTGGGGAGCCTGGCAGGCTTTGCGGCTCAGTATGTCCTGTGCTGGCCGGCCGCGCGCGCGGGGCCGGGCCGACGTCGCCGTCTGGGGGGCCGGGCCGCCGCGGGCGCCCCGCCCGCCCGCGACCCCACTCACTTGGTCCTGCAGTCCATGGTTACATGTCGCGGGGCTGTCCGTCCCGCCTCAAGTGCCGGCCTGAAGCCCCTGCCTGGAGTGCTCGAGGTGGTCAAGCCTGCTCCCCTGCCCACGCTGGCCTATGGGGAAGCAGGCAACTCACAGCGGCGGCGGCGGCGGTGGCCCATGCTCCAGTGGTGCCCCCTGGCGCTTCCCCCCCCGCCTCCCACCCCCACCCCCCCGGAGCCTTTGTGACAGCAGCAGCGGCAGCGGCGGCGCGGCCGTCGCCCCCGTCTCCGCCGGCCGCCGCCCCCGCCGCCTCCGAGGCTGGGGCCTCACAGTTCCTGCGACCGGGGCCGCCCGCAGCGGCTCCAGCACCTTCTGCAAACCAGGAAGTCGCCGGGAGGGGGAAGGGGCGCGCGCGGGGGCGGCCTCACCTGGGCCGCGCGGCCCGCGGGCCGGAGCCTGAGGAAGACACGGGGCGGGGTCCCCCCGCGCCCCGAGGGGCCGGAGGGTCGAGGGGAGCGCAGGTGTCTGCCCGGATGACCCACGTACCGCTCTGTAACCGAGCCAGAAACGCAAGGTGTCCCCTGTGTCCTCAGCCCCGGAGCAGCCGACTTCCTTTCTGGGTCCAGTCCAGGCTTCAGGGCTACAACCCACCTCAAAAGCAAAGTAACCGAAAAAGTACCTCGATTTTGCAGTATTTTCCACACCGCACGCACACGGAATTGGATCACTAATTAATGGGTATTGTTTGTTAGAACCTTCGTCGTTTTAGGCCGTTTCATTTCGTTTCAGGCTGCACATTCGGAGCTCGAGTTGATGCTCCTGGCTCCTGCCTCACTCCAGCTGCGTCCCGTTACTGCTCTCTGAAATCCAGAGCCGCCCCCCTCCTGATTCAGGAATGTTCAGACATGTGCACCTGCTAAATAGCCTTGTCAAATAGCAAAATGGTAGTGCTCCACTCGCCTGCACATATGGAAGCCAGACGTTCTTATGCCACAGGACTGCAGCATACCAAGGATTGACTTTGGACACATTCTCCAAGCGGCAGGCCTCACAGAACTGCAGTCTAGGAAGCTCAGAGAGGGCCCAACTGAGGGTGAGAGGGGCTGATACATAAAAAACTAAGATTTACAGGGCACCGAAGTACCTGTTAAGCAGGTTATATGCATCGCCACAGTACTTGCCAGAACTCTGTGTGATAGGTAACTTGCATCAGCATTTTGCAGGTTGATAAACAGGCCAAGCTAATCCAGTGGGCAATGGCAAAGCTGGATTTCAGAACAGGTCTACTTGATGCTGATATTTACTGCTACCATGGACTGGCTCTTCTTCTGCCTTATATCTAGAATCAACTGGGAAGAGATCTAGAAAAAGTTTTCTAATGCACACTTAAAAGAGTGTACAGGATTGGACTTCTACACAGATCTTCTGGAGAAGGTTTCTTCCGTTAACGTTACCACCTTACACGTGGCCACAGTGTTTTTCATCCAAATGGGGGTTGTTTCAGACTTTATTCATGCAAAAGGTAAGATGATGAGAGGAAATCAAGTGTGGTATGAATAGGGTGTGAGTCATGAGACATAAAAGTCATACAATGAGTTTTGGGAATTAATTCGGAAGCCAAAACCTAACATTAAACACAGTTATTCAGATCTTAAATGTTCTTGCCAAAATATGTGTTACTTGGTCAACAAAGTGAAATATATTTCATAGCCACAGACCTAATAGTCAAAAATAAGGTCAGGACATAAAAGGGAAACAAAAAAAAAAAAATAGATTTAAACATGAGGTACCATCATAGCTTGACTTGGGGTGAGACACTTCAGTTTCTCGGTTCCTACATTTGTAAAATGGGAATTATTACTTGTATATCACATGAACAACGTGATATTCAAGTTAAAAAGCATTACACATTTGTGTGATCTTTTAAGAAATTATTCTGTGGATTTCAGTTTCAAAATTAGACAATCTATCTATACCACATATTTTTTTCCCAAATGAAGCTTTTTTCTACCTAAAAAAGTTACCATAGTCCAAAGCCTTGAAAAAAAATTCTGTAAACTGAAAACCACTTCTGCTCCAAATGTTACCAAATTTCTCAAACTTCTTCTTTCATTATAATTCATTCTTTTCCCAAACAAACAAACAAACAAACCCTACCTGGAATGCCTACATCAGGAGTTTTTAATTAGTGGTAAGGAAATATTAATACAATTGTTTTCCCTATCCATTTATTGGGATTTAAGTGACAGTCGTACCCCTGCATAATATAAAATTGCTATTTTTTTTCAATTTATCTTAAGTATTTATGAAGGGAAGACACTGCATATGCACACACAAAGCAAATCTTTTTAAACCAGCTTTTAGGCTGACCATGATGAGGCGATTTATCTATTCTGATATTACTGAGGTAAAAGGATAGAAACACAGATGGACACAATTTGCACAATTTGTTAAAAATTATAGTAAAAGGAAAAGTTTTATACACTTATTTTGGTGATATGTTTATTGAAGCCAGTCGTATAATTTTAGTCATACTCATTTCGTGTGGAACTTCTGATATGACAGAGTCAAGGTGATCTATCTTCACAAGATCATATTTCAGCGATAATATTTCCTACTTAGCAACTGATATTAACGTTTTTCAGGACCACAGTTGTCAAAGAACATTGTCTATATTGGTGCCAGAGAACACAGTCTATAGACTATTAGTCTTTTTTAATATTTTAAGCTTATTTTAAATTGTTTGCCTGTGTTTATAAGAAGTATATATTCAGCAGTTCTTGGGCAAGGTATTTCAAAAATGTGCCTCCTTGATCAGATCTCGCCTGTGGTTTTAGCTTGCCTATCCCAAATTGCAATATCTGTTATTCCCAAATAAACTTATTTTTGCTGGTAAAAATTTGACAGTTTTATTTTTAAGGTGAATGTTACTTTGTGATCAGAAGTGGGATCCGGAGAAGACCCCCAGCAACTCTCAGGCAGGTGAGCAAACAGATGCTACAGAGCCAATGGAGTTCGCCGCTTACTTGCCAACCCTGGAGTTTGAGGGTAAGTTTTTTTCCTGCATTTAGAGCTCTACTCTCTTTGTGTTTCGGCTCTCCCGACTTTACTCGGGTTCTGTTTTGAAGGCCTATCCTTCCTGGGAGTACTTGTCTGTTCTTTGGTCTGACTCCTTCTTAGAAGCAGGTTGTTTCTAGTGGAACTGTGCCTGTTGGAAGCGTGTTGGCCTTCAATCCAATTTCTTTTCAGAATCAGACTGTTGGTAGTGGAACTGTTCTGGCCTTTGGTCTGATTCCTTCTGGAACCAGGACGTTCCTGTTGAAACTGTGCTGTTTAGGAATTTTTCTCTTAGCTCTAGGAAAAAAAAACCTCTAAGAAATGGTATCGCTGTCATCAAAATGCTTTGACAGTAGCGGTTCCCCCCACTACTAGGACTCTGGTGGTTTTATGTTTAAAAACTATGATCCTTCCTCATATGCATTTCTAGACTAAATGGATCAACTTAACCAAAAGAAATTTGGAACTTCAGTGGCCATTTTGGGGAATTTTCAATCTCCCCAAACTTATTTGTTTCTCTCAAAATTAAATTAGAAGGCTGCAGCTCCTAAAAAATAAAACAAAAAAGCACCAACCAACCAACAAACAAAAGGCCTCGATCAAGTATTATGGTCGTATTATTGATCTCTTCTATTACCATGATTGTGTTGTTGGTATCTTGTATTACTATATTTGCATCTGCTCGATAATTCATTCATGGAAGAGATGAGTTAAAATTTCCTAGTATGTTGGTAGATTTGTCTGTCTCAGCTTATAAGTCTGTCAATTTTTGCTTTATATAGTTGGGGGGGGTGTTATAATATGCAAACCGGTTTATAATTATTTTATTTGCCTGGTAAATTTACCATTACGTTGTGACCTTCTTTAATTTTAGTAATGCTTTTGCCTTAGCATTTAAATGGCTTTCTTTTATAAAAAAAAATTATTTTTTAGTTTTTATATTGAGGGAGTGCATGCACATACATGCATGAGCAGGGGAAGGGCAGAGAGAGAGAGATGGAGAGAGAGAATCCCAGGCAGATTCCACGCTGTCAGTGCAGAACCCGACACGGGGCTTGATCTTACAAACCATGAGATCACAACCTGAGCCGAAAACAAGAGTCAGATGCTTACCTGACTGAGCCACCCAGACACCCCTAAATCGCTTTCTTCTGATTAGTATTTGCCTAGTATTATTTTAACTCTTTTCATCATATTATATTAAAACTTTCTAAGTCATTATGTTTTAGATTTATCTAATTCATGTTAATTTTGACTTTTAGTCTACTCTAATAATGATTGAATGTTAGACCAAGCATTTAAACCATTCCATGCTTTATAATTGCTGATATATTGAAATTTACTTTTCCATCTAATGTGCTCCCCATTTATATTTTTCTGATCTATATATTTTTTTCACCATTGCCTTCTTTGGGATTATTGATTGTTTTTTGGTTTTGTTTATGCTTCTACTTCTCTTCCTAGATTCTAGTTTGGAAGTTATGTACTCTATTCCTGTTCACTTAGTGGTTATCCTAATTTTAACAGGTAAATTTTAACTCATTAAATTCTGAGTTTATATCTATCTACCTTCTGCCAGATACTACAAGGACCTTTAAAAGATCCTTAAAACTGACTTTCATCAGTTCTGGAAAATTCTGAACTCCATTCTTTCTCCCCTTTCCTTCTGGGACTCTGTATACACATTCTCATTTGCTCTCCATATCTCTTAACATTTCTTTCATAGTTTCTTTTTTCTTATCTTTCTAAGCCGAATTCTGGATAATTTTGCAAACATCCTACTGTTCATTAATTCTTTCTCTGGCTTTGTCTCATCTTCTGTTAAAGCTTTTTAGTTTTTAGTGTATCTTATTTTCATTTCTAAAGTTCTGCTTGGTTATTTTAAATCTGCTTTCTCTTCATTCATATTTTAAGCCTTTGCTTAATTTCTTAAAATATATTTAGCATACATATTTTAGATTCTATTTCTGAT